AGGGGGACTTAAGGCACCTAATTTGAAATTATATTATGATGCAGCCGCCCTAACTTGGTTAAGTGATTGGCTTAATTTAACAAATATGGATATTCTCTTTTTGGAAGGTTGGGATTTAATATACGGTTGGCATGCATATTTAATTTTTAATAAGAAAGTTGATCGGACTTTTAAATCACATATTTTGAGGAATGCCTTACTTCGTGTTTGGAAGAAGTATTATTATAGATTAAATTATAAAATACCTATCTGGGGGATTCCCAGACATGCAATTGAGGGAACCTCTAAGGGGACAAATTTTGATAAAATTTCATACAAAGAATTGTTAATTTGTTCTGGTTCGAATTGGCATTTGAAATCCCTAGATGTATTAAGGCAGCAAAATATTCTACAGTCATGGTTTCAATATTTACAAATAATGGATAGATGGACTGTAGATAAGAAAGAGGGAATAACACTAGAAGATAGACAATTGGTTATTCAGATTAAAAACCAAGGTCCGGCTCATATAAAAAGAATATATAATGTTTTATTAGAGTTAGATTCGGAAACAGAATTGGTTAAAGATTGTATGATTAAATGGGCTCAGAATATACAGGAGCCGATCTCATTGGATTTATGGGAGATAATTTGGATAAGAAATGTTAAATTTACACAAGCTCAAAATTTGAGAGAAAATTTTTATAAAATGTTTTATAGATGGCATTTAGATCCTAAAAAATTATCTTGTATGTATTCCAACATACAGCCCAAATGTTGGAGATGTGGCAATAATGATGCGACATACTTTCATATTTGGTGGAATTGTAAAAAAGTAAAGGCTTTTTGGATTATGATTTGGTGGAACATTCAAAAGATTTTTAGAAAAAAGATAAAGTTTACTCCTCAACTATTTTTACTTGGTAATTTTGTTGACTTAAATGAAAAAGAAACTACTTTGATGTTGAATTTATTAACTGCAGCAAGGTTACTAGTAGGTTTATATTGGAAGAAAGATTCTTTGCCTACTTTAGAAGAATGGATATTTAAAGTATCTAGTCTTGCAGAAATGGCAAAAATTTCTGCTTATTTAAAGGATCATACACAAGAAAGATATATTACTGTATGGGGAAGGTGGATAGATTATATTCAGAAAAAGTATGGAATTAAAAAGTTTTATTTATTTTATGAATGAATATCAAATATTATAGAGAATTGTTTTATAGGTTATGGAGTTAAAGGTTAATTATGATATTTTTTTTCTTTCTCTCTTTTTTTTTCTTTTTTCTTAATTATTATAATTTTCTTTTTTTTTAACCCTGTATTCTGCTCTGGGAAGTGAAGGGAGGGGGGGTGGGGGTGGGAGGGAGGGTAAGGGGGGGTTCTCTATTCTAAAATTTTATTGTATTTTTATAAATGATTGTATGTTTTAAAAAATAAAAATTTTCAATGAAAAAAAAAAGAAAAGAAACAAAGCTAAGTACCACCTTCTATAGTCAGCAATGACTAGTGGAGTAAAATCCACAGGGACTTCTTTTTTATGTGGAAGATAATACAGGTGGTCCTCAGTTAATGACCACTTCTTCAGCAACTGTTTAAAATTACGACAGCATTGAACAAGGAGACGGACGCCTGGTCTTCAGAGTTGTAGCCCTCACAGTGTCCCGGCAGTCATGTGATCGTGAATTGAGCACTTGGCAACCGGTTTGCAATTATATCAATGGCAGCATCCTATGGTTACCATTTGTGTCCTTCACTGTCAGCTTCTGACAAGCAGGGTGAATGGGATTGCTGGCAGGAGGTTGCAAATGGAGATTGGATGGTGTTGCACCTAGTGACCCCGTGGGATTTGCTTAACAAGTACAACTGGAACTGCCAGAACTGCCATTGTAAGTCAGAACAGCCATGTGACATTGTGTTTTAGAGTGACAGAGTTTCTGGTTCCAATTACCATCATTAACCAAGGACTACATTTATCAGATTCAGAGAGATAATCTCATTATGTTTGTAAAAAGTGAGGATAGTGGCTGGCATGGGATGGGTGAATAAATGTTATTTCTAATAAATCAGTTGTGCATAATGGCTTTCATCTCATGGACAGCTTGCAGAGGTTTGTTAGTTTCTACAACCAAGACAAGAACTTGATAACCTTTGAAAATATGTCTTCTTCTGTGCTCTGAGCTATCCATATGTTCTATTAGCATGCTCCTCTTTGGTTTTAATGAAGCTAATTATTGCACTGATCAAAGCGAATATTAACAAAAAGCACTGAACCTTATAAATGTCTAGAAATTAGATATGTATACCGATTAATAATGCAGCAAAAGAGCTGTTTTCTCTGGATTTGTCTAACTGCCTAAAAATAAATGGAACAGAAAAGATGGAATTTCATTACAGAAAATGCATCTTAGTGGTGAGTATCTGTTCAGGTTTTCTTATAAGATAATCACGACTATCTTATAATATGTGTTTTGTATGAAGTACTGTATTGGTCGTAACGGCATGAACTACTTCTCTGGTGATATTTAAATCAGCAATTGTATTGTAGACCTACATTTCTAAAGAGTGGTTGGATGACACATGCATGTCCACAGTTTTTTTTTTTAATGAGACATTGGCCTCATTTGCACATTATTCTAGCCAGAATTTTAAACAATAGAATGTAAAATAAGCCCCAGAGACATAATCTGCGCATCGTACTGAATTATTTATTTATTTGCAGGGTTTTTTTATAGCTCTCCCCAGTCACGAATTTCTGGGCTGATTACTACAGAGTAAAAATTAAAATAATACTAAAATATATGTAATAGATAATTATATAAGAGGCACAATTGATGGGTGGCATAGGAATTTGATAAATCAATCAATAAAATATACCTCTCTTAGATATATACCTTGAATATCTCTCCAAAAATAGAAACCTTACAGCTTAGCATTATGGCTTCTTAAAAGGGAAGGATCCAGTTTATACTAGTTCTTTTTATGTCTACATTACCTGAATGAAATGGTTTCGTGATTGGTTCAGTGGAAGCTTTTTGTTTCTTATCCCAAAGGTGCTTTTTAAAAAGTGGACTTTCTTTGTTTTTCCTTGAAGACATTTCACTTCTCATCCAAGAAGCTTCTTCAGTTTTGACTGAATGGTGGAAATGGATGGATTTATATTCCTTGCAGTCATCTGGTCTTTAACACTGAAGATTGGTCATTAGGTCTGTGAAAGTATTGAGACCACTTGGGGGGTGTTATCTTTTCTTCTTCTGATATTGACAGTTAGGACTACCTCCACTCCAATTATCTAGCATCTATTTTGGCAAGTTGTACATAGTGACAAAAGCTCCTGTAGTGACAAACTGTCATTAACTGTGATTTGAAGTAAAGGTATGTTGGAGGAGAACAAGGGAAGATTGTATATCAATTGCAACATGCAACTTTTGTATTATCAGTAGCTGAACACTTGATTAGCTGTCCCAGGGAGATGTATGACTACAGCTGACCTACATTTCTTCCTGGGTCACCTTGTTGGAATGCCTAGTAAGAATAGCAAGTTGTGTGTCATCCTTGCATTTGGCATTTCCCCAGCCTTCCTGCAGAGCATAAGAAATACTAAACATCACAACACTGCATCAGATCTTTTTTTTTTTTTTTTACTAAATGAGACTTTGAAAACACAAGTCAGTGGCAAATCTCTTCATGTGACAAGATAGGATCAGAGACATTTTTCAGACTTACTGGTGATGAGAAGATCTGGCAATAATACATGAGAATTATTGAAGGTGGAAATCATGATACTGTTCCTATGAATTAAAACAGGATGATTAGTAATTATGACTAGTGTTATAAAGAGACAGTGGATGAATAGAAATCTTAACCAGTATCTCTGTGTTGAACTCAGTTACTTCTGGTATCATGAATGTTTACCCATTCAGTTGTGTCCGACTCTTTGCGACTTCATAGGCAAGTGCTGTCCATGCTACTCTGTCAACCACATTTTCTTTCAGTTGTTGTATGTTCATCTTTGTATCAATTTTGATGTTATCAAGCCAGCATGTTCTTTGCTTGCCCCTTCTCCTTGCTCCACTAACCACCATTCCTAGCATCATTGACTTCTCCAATGAATTTGCACACATGACATGGCCAAAGTAAATCAGGCATAGTCTTGTGATTTTGGCTTCTGAAATGTGTCTAGTTTTATATGACTCAGCAGCTCTCTGTTGATTGTTCTGGCTGTATCATGTATTCATGTATCATGACTATCATGTATTCATGTATACATGATATTCCTGATACATGAATATCATTTATACATGAATTCATGTATCATGAATAGGACACACTAATAACAGATCTCTAAGCCTAATTCTGACTCATTCACTGCCCATGATAATTCATTTTAAAAGTCTGCAGCGGTTTGCACAATGACAGAGTCAATGACTGAGATCGGCGGCTATAGAAATTGAATAAATAAATTAGTGGCATGCCATTTTAGAGCTTAAGCGATTAATTCTTACCAATTAAGATGCACATTGCAGTTTCCTTGGTGAGATCTGCCCTTCTATATAAAGGAAGTAGCCTGTCACCTTTTGTTCCATTTGGCTCTCTCAGGCAAAAGTCAGTATTGCTTAGTGGCCTACTCATCCTGTTTCGTTATTTTACACGCTAATTAACCTTCTGCTGGGCAGTCAGATCTTCATTAGCATGGGCAGGGAAAGCATTTTATCAGCATAAGCTTCTGTGAAGCTATATGGAAGTGTTAAGGCTATCTGTAGATGCTAATGTAGTATTTAGGATGACCATGTTCAGCTTTCTGGATTGGAACCAGTCTTTAAAACAGCAGCAGGGATGGTTGAAATCTGTTTCTTAGAGACACTTTTTGCTGTTGATGGGAAGAGGATACTGCATTGTTTTTTAATTAGAGCCAGCAGTGCTTATTCTGATGGGTTTTTTTTTAATTGTTGCTTTCAAATAAATCATGCAAAATTTCAGCATGCTGGAAAATGATATCTACAGCCACTTTTATGTTACAGAGGAATGATGAAGAGGCAGTGGTGGACCAGGGAGGAACACGTTCCATTCTCAAGACGCATTTTGAAAAGGAGGATTTGGAAGGTGAGAGCTGCTTCTTTCTAATTTAGGCTTTTATTTCTTTGAAGTGTATATAAAGAAGATACAATATTGCTAATCTTCAACCAACTCAAAAGTTTGGAAGTAATCTAAGTTTGGGACTCCTTCCCGCCCCGCCCCCCCAATTCCTGATGACAATTTGGGATTGAATTCTTTTTTTTTTTTTTTAAAGCAATGAGGTAAAATTTGGAAGTGCCTCAGGGAGATTCCTCCTTAATTCACTGAAGTTTAAGGAAGAGGATATACATAGTTCTCTTTCAGCAACCGTTTGAAATTACAATGGCACTGAACAAGTGGTACGTATGGCCCTTGAATTCTGGCTGTCCCAGCACCCCCAGACTCACGTGATTGTGATCTGAGTGCTTGGCAACCGGCTCACTCACACTTACAATGGCTGTAGCATCCTACAGTCACATGATCACTGTTTGCGGCCTTCTTTGCTGGCCCACAAGCAAAGTCAATGAGGCAGCCGGCAAGGATAGGCCGCAAGTTGTTCTGGTAAGCTGCTTGTACTTCACCCCACTCAGCAGCAGCCACCCTGGGCTTGTCTGCAATTGTGCCAAGCCTTGCTGGCCACCCATGCCTGTTTCCCTGCCTGGCAGCAGCTACTTACCTGTTATAAGTCATGACGGTCATGCTGCAACCAGCCATGAAGATGAGTCAGTTGCCAAATGCCTGAAATGTGGTTGTGGGAGTGTGGGAGTGTGTGCAGCCATCAGAACTCTGGAACTCGCCTTACGACCAGAGTTGAGCCCAAAATTTCTATTGTCAAATGAGACATTTGTTAAGTGAGTTTTGCGACTTTTCTTGCCTCAGTTGTTAAGTGAATCACTGCAGTGGACAAGTTAGTAACATGGCTGTTAAGTGAATCTGGCTTCCCCATGTCAGAAGGTCGCAAAACGGGATCACCTGACCTTGGGACTCTGCAACCGTCATAAGTATGAACCAGTTGCGAAGCGTCTAAATTTTGATCATGTGATCATGGGGATGCTGCAAAGGTCATAACTGTGAAAAAGGGTCATAAGTCACTTTTTTCAGAGCCGTTGTGACTTTGAACAGTCACTAAACAAACTGTTGTAAGTCAAGGACTACCTGAATTAGCTTTTGGGAGAGTCCATTGTAACTTGAACAGCTGTTGGGTAACTGCTCATTAAATGAGGACTACCTTTATTTTGCTGTCAGATTTGTAAGGCTTTCTTTGCTAATAAACACAATAATATTGAATACCAATCATTAAGAGGAAATTCATGTTAGGGGCAGACTTACCTATATATTTATTACCATTTATTACTAATCTCATCAATGTGGGTAAGATTATCTCCTTCACTTACATTTTATTTCATATGTAGTTGACCCAGAAAGCAAAGCTCCATTCTACTCATTTAAAAATTACCCAGGAAGCTATACATTCTTCGGTTTCCTTCTAGATCTCTAGGTTGAATTGATTGATTTGACGAGCTAAAAACCTCTTGGCCAGTTCTGTCTTTTGTGTAGAACATTCCTACTGGTTATTTTTATACCATACCTTTTGCTGTGACCTTATTCACTGAGATACAAAATGCAGCATCATTGTCTCGGATGACTGGTTCAGATCACGATGGAGAGTATGTCTCAGCCTCAAAATGCTGTAAAAAAAAAAAGCAATCTCTGCCTGGAAAGAAAATAAAAATAAATGTTTGCCTTATAATAGTATACTGTTAAATGGATGCTCATTATACATTTAGGATAAAGATACTCTTTATCTTTATCCTAAATGTGGAATCCTAAGTTTATCACAGGTTAGTGATATATTATAATTGAACTGTTTATTTCTTCAGATGTCTTTGTGAAAGCTTTGTATGTATTACTTCTAATAGGAAACCCTTCGTGATTTTGCCAAAGACTATTTGCATCCTTTTAAAACTAGCTGTGACATGTTTTCAGGTTTTGGTAGCTACTTTTTGAAGGCCTACAGGAGGGAACTGAGTTATCTTTCTTTCTTTAGATTGTGTTGTAGTAGAAGGACCTCACTAGCTTCCACTATTTGTAACAAAAAAATGTGCACTTGATTAGTTAATTCCCGCACACCTCTTAATGAATATCAACTTGTTTATTATTCTGGGGTTTATCAGAGATCACCACATCAGATGCACAAAGTGGTTAGGTGTAACAGAATAGTTCTGCTAGGTCAGGTCAGATAGATGTTTTGTTTCTCACAATGGCCATTCAGATGTTCCTGGATCTTCAAGATAAGATGAGGATTTATTCATTTCCTAGTGTTGTTTCCCTGCAGCTGTCGTTTGAAAGCATGCGGCCTGCATCTGGAGTAGATGCTGAGTTTTATGTTTAATAGCTCTTGTGTTAACTTTTTGATGATTTTTATTTTACGTTATTGGCCTACTTTATATGATATCCAAAGAATCAATAACATTTTTTTAAAAAATTAGTAGCCCTTGATTGACCTGCCCTCCATAAATTTATCCAGTTCTCTTCTAAACCATTCAAATTAGCGGCCATCATTACATTTTGCTTTCATGGATTCCAGAAGTGAACTACGATATGTGTTCGAGGCTTGATTTTCAAAAACACTTTCTAATTAGCTTTATTGGATGATCACCCATTTTAGTGGAAAAAAAGATTCTTGCTATCTATTTTCTCCATGCTATTTGAATTTATACATTTTATGAATTTACCTATCTCATGATTTATGTCCTCCTTCTATCTCCTTTTTTCCTTTTGAAAGAATTTTTTATGAAAAAATATTTTATATAGGCTTTAAAAAACTAGAGAAACACAAATGAAAAAGTAGGGGAAAAATCAGTCAAATAAAATGGAAGAGTCACAATTAATTAAGATAAAAGGAAGAATATAGTTATTCTAAAATTTCTAAAAAGGTTTAGAGTTAATAAGATGGCATTCTGTGCAGATGGTGGAGCAGTACTTGGCTGTGGTCAAGGAAATAAGATCAGATTGATTTGATAACAGCATCTTCAGATTAAAAACAATTTGGAATAACCAGGATATTGTGTAAAAAATGAAAACATTCATTCCTGGTGAGCACCTACATTCAGAGGGCAATACAGAACAACATATTCCATTGATTTAAGTATTCCTCTACCGCCTGGACATAGTCTCAGTTCGAAAGGGATTTCTTCAGCTGTTGGAAGGACACCGAATCTGACCAAGGAAAGAGAAAAAAGAACTATAAAAAACTAAAAGAAAAATGCATGATAAAATGTCTCTTCATATTTTCATGTTTCCAAAAATTATTAGAAGTACCTTAATATCTTGGCACTCAACTGCTTTGAAATGCTTCAGATTTGGTGCATTTTTATGTAAAATTTTTGTCCCGATACTTATCATTTGTTTGGTACTCAATGTCCAAGCTAGAACTTCACAGTATCAGCTGCCTTCTGACACATTACATTATTTCTTGTGGAAAAAAATTGTTTGGTACTCATCGTTTTTGGTACTCATTGCACCTCCCAGAACCAATTAAAGTTGAGTACTAAGGTACCACTGTACATCTTAGACAACTTGTCTGGAATCATATACCAGTGGTGCATCATTTTATAAAGCTACCCATTTAAATTGTAAAAGAGCCTAAATTTCAAACCTTTTAACCAGTGGTGGGATTCAAATATGTGAACAACCGGTTCTCTGTATGGATGCTGCTTCCGGAAGTCTATTCTGGGCCTGGGCAACAAAAAATTAACTACCGGTTCTGCTGAAGTGGTGTGAACCGGCTGAATCCCACCACTGCTTTTAACCATATTCTCTCCATTAATCCATTTAAATAGTGATCTCCTGCCTTAGAAGATCACAGTCCCTTCCAATCAAAATATAAAAACCAAAGTTTTTGGGCCATTTTATCATGCATTCTGTAACTGCTTCCATTTCAAATTTCACACAGTACATTTTAGCAGTCACATGTTCATCATTTATACATAATTCATTTTCATCTCATTTTATCACATTCTATTTGTGATATCTATATTAAATCTTTTCTTAATTGTGTGTATGAAAACCATTGAAAACTAAGTCTCTCAACAGTCAATTGTTCTCTTGATTTCATCTTAAGCTCTCTATTTTCCTGTATTAACAAGCCTTTAAAATGTAACCATTTATCTTTGATACTGCTTCTTTTCTGTAAAACATTTCTTTGGCTGAGACATACAAAAATATTTTTGGGCACAGCCTGGGTTTGTATCTGCTCCATATTTGAAATATAGCATTCCTGATAATAATGATTTTTAAAATCTACATTTACTTTAACTTTATCGTACCATAAATAACCATGCCGCCCAAACCTCAGATCATGTCCTTCTTATCCTAAGAGTCTTCAATCCTTTTTTTCCAACCTAAAGACTCTCAAGCATTCTAACCATGTTTCTTAAGAAAGGTGTTTGAACACATATGCTCAAATTATTCTGCCCTCTTTTACATATTTTCTAGGTTTCTCCTAAGCCATTAAAAAAAGATCAGATAAAGGATAACTTAGACCTCATCAGTGTTTATGTAAAGTCAATTTGTTACTATTGTTACCCCAGTGTGCAGCATATTTAAAGTACATTGTATTTCCTATTTGATTGATCTTTCACACAATTTCAAAAGATCCTCCTATAGCTCTTCATAATTACACTTTTTAAACCACTCTGAAGGGTTTAGTTTAGTTCGTTCATAAGTCTATATAAGACAAAGAGTGCGGTTAGTCCTCTACTTGCAACAGTTTGTTTAGTGACGGTTCGAAGTTACAACAGCCCTGAAAAAAGTGACTTATGACTGTTTTTCATATTTATGACCTTTGCAGTATGGTCATGTGATAAAAATCCAGATGCTTAACAACTGATTCATATATATGACGGTCACGGTGTCCCTAGGTCATGTGATCACCTTTCGTGACCTTCTGACAAACAAAGTCAATGGGGAATCCAGATTCACTTAACAATTGTGGCAAGAAAAGTGGTAAAATGGGGAAACATGTACTTAACAAATGTCTCACTTTGGGCTTAATTTGGGGCTCAATTGTGGTCATAAGGACTACCTATATTCCCACAGGAAAAAAAAATGGAAGAAGTAGTACTATAAATGATCAAATGTCTGCAAGATCCAATCAGCAAAATGGGAATTACTCATCATGACTAGCATTCACTGATAATGAACAGGCACAGAAAAATCAGTTGCATAAATAAACACTTAAAACAGGATAATTATTATTTATAGTGAGCTAGTCATTCCCAGTATTTGAGGAAGTCTAATGTCATCATCCTGAATGGTGCTTTATTTGCTTAATTCTGTTCTCTCTAGTTTCAAGAGATTTTCAAATCAGATAAAATTCTGTTGAATATAAAATCAACAAAGTAACAGAAGTTTCGGGGAGAAAAAAGCATTATACTTGGAAGTTAATCATTTTGAAAAGTTGCTTTTTTTTTTTTTTTACTTTCTCCTAAATGTTAAAATAGACAAATGCCTCTTTAGGGAGATTCATTTTTGAGCTTCACAGTCATTATAAAAAAAGTTGCTGTTTTTCTGCACATCAGATTATGTTAATGAACAGTCTTCTTTAAAATTTTTGCTTGATGGGGAAAAATAGCAAACCACTATCTATTGTAATAAAGCAGAAGGCGAAGTATAAAACTCTAGGTTCTGAATAGATTGAGCAGCAATAATTTGTAGTTCGTTTTTGGTTAACAGCTGCTGCCCTTAGTTATAATGCAGGCAGCCACTCTCTGAGGGAAATGGGTGTATAAGAAATATGAAATATAAATAAATATAAATAAAATAACCCTTCCTCATTTAAATGAGCTTTCAGATAGATGGAATGTTTCTCTTTTCTTCTTTGTAAAGAGATTTAATTTAATGTAGATTAAATGTTTGCTTAGTTGTATAGCCTTTGGATGGTAGTTCCCTTGGTCTCCGATTGGGCAGTGCAGGAAACAGCACAAAAAATGTGTCAGGGTGGAACCATTATGCTCAATAACTATTATTTTAAGAATATTTCACAATAGTATGGGAAACTTGTGGCTGGGACTGCAGTAATGAAAAGGCAGGAGAAACTCACACGATGTAACAGCTCCTATATACAATGTGCGTCTATTTTTGCCTTTTGTTTTTATGCTGTGGGAAATTTTTATCTGGAAGAACAAAATGATGGGAAGCCCCTGCCCGCAATTTGAAATGCTTCAAGCAACTTTTATCACCCCAGTGTGCATTAGGCCTCATGTTTCTTGTTTATTCCTTAGCTCCCATTCTGTCTTCTCTTCAGTAGTTATCATCTGTTACAATCCTCTAATTTCCCCCTTTTTTGAATCCCAAATTATTGGTTTCTGGGCTACAATTAACTTTAAGAACACAGAGTTTGAATAGTGGTTTGCAGATGTTCTCTTCCTTGATCCTTTCTTCATTCTTCAGTGAATGCATTTGCATTGCCCGATATCAACTGTCCTTTCTTACCGAGTTTTCTATCCCTTAATCTATTTTTATTTAGAATCCTGTCTAGGATATAGTGCCACTTTGATAAAGCCATGTTACATCATAACATTATCAGTTTTAATCAAGATGTTCCCAGGGAATTCCTTTTGTCTTGTTTCCAGAGAAACTGCATTAATGGAGTGGGTGACAAATGCTATTCAATGCTGAGACCCACTATGATGTAGAGCAGTGGTTCTCAACCTTTCTAATGCCGCGACCCCATAATACAGTTCCCCATGTTGTGGTGACCCCCATCCACTTATACATCACCGGGTGCCAGGGGCATGGCCAAAGAAAAGGGGGAAAAAATGGCAGACAGCCTTGTTTGGCGACCCCCGTGAAATGGTCGTTCGACCCCAAATGGGGTCCCGACCCACAGGTTGAGAACCACTGATGTAGAGTCAACATTTTAGACTAAGAATCTAGCTTCAGATCCTTTTCATAAGAAGTGAACTTTTGGCTGGTAAAATATGTTACTTTACACCCTCTTATAGAGTTATTGTGGGTGAATTACTGTTCGGAAAGAGGGAGGGGACTAGAGAAAGATACCTCCAGGCTCTATTCGCAAAGCAATCTTCCTATAACTCATCTGTTCACCATTACCCTATTGCTCTAGATCTTGCTATAGATCTCACTCATTATCCACTCAAGTCTAACATGAGTTTGTGTCTTATAGGCTTCTTGCAGGACCCCACCCCACTTTCTACCTGCCTCTATAAGTGGGCTAGAAATGTATTAAATAACATATTTCATTTCTGTTTAGGCAATAAATAAATAAATATTTATTGAGATAAAATAAATACTCGACTTCTCTCCTTCTTCCTCACCTTCAAATTAACTTATGCAGTTTCCTTTGTTTACGACGGAAATTCTCTGTTCTGAATGAAGGCATAAAACGTTTCCCAGGATAATGTTGCAGGATCCAATAATGGGTCAGTTACTGAGACCACAGGTTTAGCCTTCCGAGCTTTCGGACTCGTGCTGGGCCAATCCTCAGGGAACTTAAAGATAGCCAGGGAAATGATTGAAGTCTGGGAAACAGACCCCTTGTCAGTCAACAGGAGTGCTGAATTACCATCAGCTGATCAGGTACGTAGGAGCCAAGCACTTGGCAGCACAAGGAAACAACAGCCAAGTAGAGAGAAGAGGGGTTCCAGCACGAGTCCAAAAGCTCAGAAGACTAAACCTCTGGTCCTGATGACTGACCCAGATAGGATCCTGCAACTCTCTGTTCCTATTGTATTTGCAGGGAAGCAGTTTATTTGTTATTTTGTTTATTTTCTTTAACTGCCCATCTCAGTCAATGACTCTGGATGGCTTACAAGTTGCTCTCTGCAATATTTGCCAGGCCCAAAGAGCACTTCTAAATCCCTTTCTGGAACTTCTGCCAACTCTAATGCCTTCTTCCAAGGAAGGAGTTAGTCTCAAGACAGTAGTCAAGGTTTCTATGGAGAATCTATAGATACCATGGCTAAAGTGTTTTACTTTACTCTCCCTCTCAGGAGAGGAATGAACTTTTGTATTGTTCTCCAGATGTTGATAAATCATCATTTTGAGCATCACTCACCATTGACCATATCAGTGACTAGATATGCAGGGAGTTGTAGCTCAGCAATACTGGAGGCTTATATTGCTCACTCTTGTCCCAGAATAAGTTATGAGCAAGATCAGTAGTGTTGTTGCAATTAAAATTTCAGCTGGGGAGGGGGGATTAGCAGCAGGTGGATGTTTTTCTGCCTTAAGCATTTGGACGGTTTTGCATCAACCCTGATTCTAAAACAGATGAAATGAACGTGGCACATAACAGGCAGAATAATCTTAATGGGTGGATGAAATCAGGCAGTTCAGTCCTTTATATGAACATGGCGATGATAGTAGAAGAATGTTCTGAAGAGATCTTGGTGGCCATATAAATCTGCAACCATAATAATTCTGATAGAGTCCCACCTACAAAGACAAGCTTCCCCAGCATCTTAACTGCCAAGCATCTTTTATTATGAGCTTCTCCCAATCTTTGTCCATAAGTCAGTATGAAAGGAAAGTGTAAGTCAATAATATTAATAAATACAGTCTTTGCTTAGTAACTACTTGTTCAGCAAATGTCCAAAGTTATGGAGGCACTGCATGAGGGCAAATTACGACCAGTCTTTCAAAATTGCAGCCATCACACTATCTACGCAGTCAGGGCTTGTACTTAACAATGGTTGCAACATCCCATTTGGCAACCATCTTGCACTTAAAATGGTTGCAGTGTCCCATGGTCATGCGATCAGCATTGTGACCTTCTTTGCCAGTTTCCCACAAACAAAGTCAATAGAGAAAGGGGCAGAGAAGATTGCAAGTCGCTCCTCTAAGTTGCTCTCACTCCCATTACTTTTTTTTTTGTCTGAGGAGCCTCTGGGTGGCAGGGTGAGTGTGGGGGCCCCATTTGTGCCCCACCTCAGTGTTCACCCTTGTGCCCTGCAGCAGTACACATCTAAGTGCTTTGTTGCGTTCACGCCATGCCATGCAGCAGCATCCATCTGCATGCCCTATCACACTCTTGCCCTGTGGCAGGCTTCAGCCCTCCCCCCACCTGCTGGCACTTGTGTCACACGGCGCACCCACCTGGGCATGCTGCTCTGTTTGTGCTGCATGGCAGCACTCACCTACACACCCTGCCACGTATAACGGTCTATATTCTAAAGCAAATGATTAGGTGGGGAAAATGTCCTAACTGGAACTAGCATTGAACTTACTAATTTTGTTCTTTCTTACTAACTTGCCTGAGTTCCTTTCTTTCCACAATTTACCTCAGCTGTTTTATCATTCCATGTTATTTAATTTATTATAATCGTAATCTTAGGATGGTTCTCAGAGCCTCTGAAACTGTAATTTTATGCTTTAGCACCATCGCTCAGACTATTGCTGTTTAATGTGTTAGAATTAAATATCCCAGCATTCCTAGTCAGTATGTGAAAGACTGGGTACTATATGCCTCCTCCTATGCGCATGCACACACACACACACACACACACACACACACATATACACACGATAGCATAGAAGTGTGTGTGTCATGCTTTTAAATCTGTTGAGCCTTCCCCCCCTTTCCCCCCATTTTAACATGTTTTAAGGACTTCCATTCGCCCCAATATAATGCATAAACATTATTGTAGTCCTAACATCTTAGTGTTAAATGTAATATCAAATGTACTTATTTAGACTGTATTCTATTGTGTAGGTCACAGGACTTTGTTTATCGGGGTTCATGTCCCATTGGGTGGAAGAAAAAGCCACCGCCGCCATAGACACCGTGGACACAAACATAGAAAGAGAGACAGAGAAAGGGATTCGGGATTAGAAGATGGCCGAGAGTCTCCTTCGTTTGGTAAGTCTTGCTTTATTGTTGAGTTTTTTTTAAAAAAGTTCAGTGAAATGGGAACCACAGTAAACAAGAATTGATGCATTCTAGTCCTTTTGAAGTTTTGGATGATAAGGATAGTCTCAACAGGAACACATTAAAGCAGACACATCAAGATGACAAAAGAGAATATATATGATAGAATCATGTTCCTTTTTCCTAGAACAAAGCAGGATGGCATAGCAGGCAAAGCTAGTAAATATTGCTGCATATCTAAACAACTAAGGAATTATGACAGATCAAAAAATACTTGTCTGCAGTCTTAATTCTTAAAAGAGTATGTAATCAGAGTACAGTAGTATATTCCTCAAAACTGGATTGATGAAATCCCCCTACCACCAGCATCTCTTTCTTCCCAGGATTGAGTTACTTTGTCTACTCTAAGATGAGTTTTACTCTATAAAAACCTGGAAAATGGTAGAATGAAGGAGATACATCAGTGCGATTGAAGGGCCATTTCCTTACTCAGAAATGTATCTACCCTATGACAAGAACCTTCTAAAGAGTCATCCAAAGCACAGCCATGTTTTGCTTATGAGGAATTAGGGGATTAGGCATTAAATAGAAATGAGAATATATATTTTTGTTAACTTTTATTGGATTTTGCCATTTAATAAGGTGAGCTGAGGATCTAGAGATGAGTTTATAGAAAATGGGGTGAAGTATGGAATAAAGAAATATTTGGTTGTATTGTAAAAGGCAGAGATAAATTGTTAATGTTGAATATACAGTATTTGCTGGGGATGAAAGGGAAGGTTTTTTTTTCTTATTTCCCTCCCTTTTTGGGGAGGAATGCAGTGGGGTTCTGCACCTTCTATATTTTTTAATGTGTTTTTGTATTGGCTTGGTATTTTTGTATCTGTTTAATATAATTCTTAACAAAATTATTAACAAAAATAGTACACTTACATTTTTTATTTATTAAATGTAGACACTGCCTATCTCACTATTACAGTGAGTGGCTTACAATATGATAAAAAGATAATACAAAACAGTTAAAATTATGTAAGATTAAATAGAGACTAAAAACCAAGAGGGCAGGTGAGGGTAGGGTGATATTAACAATGCAGTGAGTCCTGATTGCTTGTCTCCAGGCAAGTCTTTCATAAAAGTTTTATTGTTACCACTGGAGCTCACGTTGTCTTTAAGATGAAAGTATAAAGCCAAAACTGGCACTTCTCTTTCTCAAGTAAGAGGTTGAAAGCATCCAATGCAATTTTTCTGAGGATGGTCAGGAGGTCCTGTGAATGATCTGTTTGTACAGTAGTGTTTAGTAGCTGGGAAAGCTTTTTAAACCATGCGGTAAAAGGTAGAGCAATACATAAGATGTGATACAAGTGAGTTTTAATCAGTGGAAATTATTTATAGGGGAAACAATGCAGTTTGGTTGTTTACCATGGTCTTGATAGTAAGTAAAGACTCCTTCAAGCTTGACTGGTTTCATTTCCATATAGTTTTCTTTGCAGAAAGGGCTTTGCCATCACATGCTTCTGGAATGTTTTTTTTGTTTTTTTCAGTCTAGCCCTGCAGCCCAAATATTCCCTGAAGTCTCCCATCCCAATATTGATTAGCCTGACCCAACCAAATAGAAATCAATCCAGTGCTGCTAGCTGCTGAGATATCTTGGTAGTACAGGTCAGAGAGAGAAATTGAATTCACATTGTCTGCCTTTTAAATTTCCATACACTTTTCCAGAATAACATTTATTATTATCTTAATGTTTCCTCTGTCGTATTTCAGTTCATTGCATTTTTAACAAATCATGCGTACATAGGTTTTCCTCTTGACAATTGCAATTTTTGGAAGTCCTGTTTGCCATGTTTTATAATCAATCTTTTATTGACAAGCATAAAAGCACTTGCATAAGAGGGACAGACCTCTTTCTGCAGGGAAAACCCCCGGGGTGAACTTTATATTTGACAGATTTTTTTCCATTGATCTATAGTGTGTTCAGAATGGGCTGATTACTTGGGCTGTTAATTTGTGGCTGGCCTTCTGAGTCATTGCCTTTCTTTGGAATCTGTTTCTGAATCTGTTTACATGAGCACTGAATCACAGGCCATTGTTAACTGCCTACAATGATTTTTTGCTTCTGTCATAAGGATGACAGTAAGGTAAGAATAACTATAATACTCTCCGTCTTCTAGAAGTTATATCAGTATTGTTTACATGATAGCCCAGTTGAAACATTACTCATCCCACCAAGCAACTTGGATATAGCAGAGCTATTGAGTGGCGAATAAATATTTTGCCTCTGGCATTGGTTACTTTCTTTGGGGCCTTTAAGTGATGAGCAAGTAGCCTGAAAACAAATATAAAAGACTAAGCAAGTATAAGTGTCAAGGTTCCAATCGACAGAGACAAATAAAGCAGAACCCCGAAGCAAGCAAATTCCTCAAAGAACTTGTTTATTGCTACAGAGTATCGGTATTTCAAAAGTGAAACCAAGTTTGAAGAGATGCATAACAATTCCCCAATACAAAGTTAAGAAATCCCATCCCCAAAACTATGCAAGCAACTACGTTTCCCCATTCAGCTTGTTGGCCCAGCCTGCAGTCTCGAGAGCAGCTGATGACCTTGGTTCCCATGAGAGAAAGTTGAACATAAAAAGTCTGTTTTGTCTAGCGCAACACCTGGCAAACCCCCTCCCTCCGTGCTATGTGGCAACTAGGAATGAGAAGGGGAAAATGGCTGCAGCCATGCTCATTCTAAAGTTGATAATAGGTTTCTCAGGCTACCTGTATACAGTTTAGAATTCTGTGTTATCATGTTGAGTGAATAATGCCTGAATATATTTGTCTGATGTTGGAGGCACTTATTTGAATGGCTTTTTAATATGAGTTGACCAAAAGCTCACTTGCTAACTAAGAGAAAAAGTAAATTGTTCTTTGATTTTTCTCACTTTCCTAAAAAGAATCTGAAAATGTGAATGGAAATTGGTTAGAAACTGCACACAGATTTATCATGAGAAACAGGGCAGAAATGGCCTGGAATGAACTTGTACTTGAAAATATGAGAATATTATAGAAAACAAAATAATACAACACATTTGTATCAATGTGGACTGAAAATAAAATACATATAAAATACCAAAATTATTGATAAAATAAATAGGGAAGTTTTGCAGAAGTCCACAGACAATTTATTTGAATGTTAATCCAAATGTTTAAAAGAAAAATGGGGGGGGGACTTTTGGGGGGGGATTAATCAGAGATTAGCAATATGTTTTTATCCATGTTTGAGCCCAGTGAATTCACTGGAACCTACTCACTATGCTTAACAAAGGAGTAAGAGGGGATCTATATTCTATTGTTTGTTTCTTACTTCCTGGGCCAGTTTTATGAATACTTGATCAAATCACTGCTTCTCAACATCTCAATTTATCATTAGCATTTTAATTTGTCAAAAATATGAGCATTTATGAATATGTCTATCTTTCTGCATCCTGGTTTATAGAAATTTCACTTGGTGCTATAGGAACGCAGGTTGAGTTATCCCATTTCCTGTTTATTTTGCTGGAATTTTTGATATACTTGTTGATGCTAGCAAAACTCTTCAGAGATGTGGATATTTTGGCACACTCAAACACACTCTGCTTTTTACTTAATCCTCTTTCATTATTTTAATGTTAAGCTCTCTTTCATAATCAAATCTACGTCATATGGGAGCTTGGCTACAGAGTATTCTTTTTTAATGTTTAATTGCTATTGGCTACTACATCATAACAAAGTTTTGCCTTGAAGAACGTTGACCTGAAAAAAAAAAGGATTCCAAATTTCTCAGATATGGAGGTTTTTTTTTTAGCTTTTATACATGAAATGTCATACTGAGAAAGGACATAAAGATCTCTGCATCAGTTTTGATAGCAGTGTTACTCATCAGGATCGATTGTAGAGGAAAATAACTTTTGTCAGGTGTTCTAATGTTTTATGTACTGCAAAAATTGTTGCACTTAGAGAAAGCTGACAATGTGGTTACAGTGCTTTCTTATCAATTGCTGAAAGACAATGTCTATTTATAGAGGCAGGTAATTAATTTTTTATTTTCATGCCTCATCTCATTATATCAAATTACTTAAGACAAGAAAAAGTATGCATAATGCACTCTATGGTCAGCACTCGCAGGTAATCTAGATAAAAAACTGGATTAGATGAACTAATAATGCTTTATTGAAAGGCTACATTAGCAATAGCACTTAGATTTATATATTGCTTCACAGTGCTTTACAGTCCTCTCTAAGCAGTTTACAGAATCAGCATATTGCCCCCAACCATCTGAGTCCTCATTATTCACCTCAGAAAGATGGAAGGCTGAGTCAATCTTGAGCCGGTGAGAATCGAACTGCTGGCAGTCGGCAGAATTAGCCTGCAATACTGCATTCTAACCACTGCACCACCAGGGCTCTCAACTTTAACAGAATCTTGCAAGTCTGAAAGTACAAACTTCCTATTTCCAAACTGATGACACATTTGACTCCGCCCTTGGGCTCAGCCTGGTCATCTCCTACCACTGTTTTGAAATCATAATGTTAAGCTCCTCTTATCCATAACAAGAAAATTCTGACTCAGATTGTGTCTTCTTTCAAGAACACTACTAGCAACACAAATGTCTTTTTGTCTTGATATTCAATGATATACTTCCATTTAAAAAAACCACCCCAAACTGTCAGCATACATTAGTATCCATGTATAAATTTAGAGTTTGGGGAAATAACCTAATACAAAAGAAAAAAAAAGCATCTTATTTCCAAATGATTTGGAAATACACAAAGGTCTGACAGTGTTAAGCGAGTATAAATCTCCTCGCTGTGTAAAAGGAACGTCTAAGTCTCTCTGAAAGTCTTCCTAAAAAGAATGGGATAAATGTGTGATGAATTTGATAATACATGGGTCAACTTGACATGGCTGGGTGTTTGTTTTTGAAAGAACTAGGTTGCATTTTCAGGTTAGGTTCGATAGGAACCTTAACTAATACAGTATGTGTTTAAATACCAATTTCATAGCTGTCACCTTGGTAACAACAATTGAAAAAAATGTTATGAAATTTTCAATTGAAGCTGCTAAAATTCCCAGCATAAGGTCATATAGATATTAATGGCTTGTTCAGTTGTTAAAATGGCATTTTTAAAGCCCTGGCTTTTGCCAGTTCGGAAGATTTTTAACTAATTAATATTCACCTCACATTCTGCGTGAAACTATAGGTATAGACCTGCTTAGACCAGAAATGAAGGATGCCATTCTTATCCCAATATTCCTTTGTGTTTTGGAATTGGGCAGTCTCTGAAGCAGATTTTGGCTTGCACAAACTTTCTGTTTAATCATGGATTTTGCATTATGCAGGTTTCCACCAACTGTGAAAAAATTCCTATTCAAGGAAATATGACTAGAGTCATAATTTAAACTTTGCTGCCCAATATGGTTGGATTGGAGATTGAGCAAACAGATCAGATGTACATGTAGATTTTAGGTAGAACTAGTTCCTATGGTCAAAACCCTCTTATATATTAAGTAAACTATCTGTTAAGATACAGTAGAATTTAAGGGGGTTTCCCCTTTGATTTTTTTTTTTCATTCTTTATTTCATTCAAAGATGCTTGCTTAGAAAGATCATAGTGCTGCTCCAAAGCAGAATGATATGTACTATGTGCAAACAGGAAATAAACTTGTGTAAATACATATATGTAATGGAAAAGAGTGTAAGTTTAATAGAGCTATAATCTAGTTAATAATAGATTTCACAGATTTTTTTATAGCATGCCATATGCTGTTCCTGAGAAAGAGGGAGAAAAAACCAGTCTACATGTTGCTTTGATTTTCTGAACCTGATTATATAGCATCTAATATTCCTTTTCTTGATAGTTTTGAGACCCCAAAAAATTCATGGAATATATCAGTAATATTTTTTGTGCTACACACAGATTCAAGAGTAAAATATTTTATCTAAATAAAAGGATAATAATGAAGTTTCCCATAACTTTATGATAATTTTGGCTTGAACAATTTAAAGAGCTTAACAACATAGACATCCATATGGCTGGATTTTATAGCAGGCTAAACTTTATTCCTGAGGCTTATTTAACATATGGCTGCAGGGAGTCCATAGAAGAAGAGCTATTTGTGTATTATTAAAAATTCAGCGTAACCTACTTTAAACTCATAATAATTGAGTCCTTGTTTGTAACTTCCCCTGTTCTTTCTTCAGAATCATCTGTGCACATTCATTTGTAAGTAAGTAAGTACTAGCCAGGCTCTGTCCAATCTATTAAGTACTATAGGTATTTTATAGACATCATTAATAAAATGGTGTGGGGGAGGGGATGGTCCAGTGCTCTGTTTGGAAATACCTACTCTGAAAAGAAAAGAGATGAGCTGGGATGTCGGATGGGATGGTACAAGAAAGCGTATCCTTGGCTTTTAATAAAGGGGTATTTTTCATTTATGTTACTAACTTATCAACTGACAAGTCTCCTACACGTGGCAGTCATTTTGTGAATGAATGAATGAATATTCTTGAAATTTCACATTGGTCCTCTCTCATATGATGTTTGCCTACTATGATGCATATAATGTTTCTATCAAATCATAATGCTGGCTATTCAGCTGCTTTGGTAAGGTCATGTCTTCTGATTAATTTTCTGAGTACTGCTCTTTTTCCTCCCCAGATACTCCTTCACAGAGGGTGCAGTTTATTCTTGGAACAGAAGATGATGATGAGGAGCACATCCCACATGATTTATTCACCGAGCTTGATGAATTTTGTTTGCGAGAAGGAGACGATGCTGAATGGAGGGAGACTGCCAGGTAAATGGGATTTTTCTCCCCTTTCATATAGCCCATTGCTTAAGACCAATGAATATCAGCAGAAAAAACAGGAAGCACAATATATCCACTTAGATTTAGCAATAGCAATAGCACTTAGACTTATATACCACTTTACAGTACCATACAGCCCTCTCTAAGCAGTTTATAAAGTCAGCATATTGCCCCCAACAATCTAGTTCCTCATCCACGGAAGGATGGAAGGCCATGTAATGCTCTCTTTTCTGTTCTTAAGTTGGTCTTTCTTGTAGACCATTTGATGTCTCTGGTATTCAGTAAGCCTCATGGTGTAATTTTGCAAATATACCAGATAGCTGAAGAAGGAAAAAGGGCAAATATCCTTCAAATATCCTTCCAATGCCTCCTTATCTCCTTCAACTGTCTGGTATATTTGCAACATTCCATGTCCATTTATGCTTCTTGGTAGTGCTTTTTTTCTAAAAAAAAAAAAAAAGGTGCTGGAACTCACACATGTCATACAACCTGCCTTGCCTATCCTACAATGTTCCATCCAAAAAAGGTGCCGGAACTCCATTCTGGGCGTTCTATGAGAAAAAAAGCCCTGCTTCTTGGTAACTAGAGTCTGTCAATGTTTGTGTGTGAATGAAGGGAGTGATTCATTGTCATCATTTTTCTGGTTTTTACTTTTGCATGAGTCCAATCCACTGTTCCAGCTGTGAATCTAATGAATTACCAAGGTGTTAATTGATTTGATAGTGTTTTCTCCACTAATTTGGACTTTTTGAATCTACAAAAACAATGCAGTTCATCTTCACCTGGGTCTGACCAGTTCTTGATCTCCTTTGCCCTTTCCTTCACCATTTCTGCTGTTTATTAAAAGTTCTTTCATTTTAGCTTCTTTTCCCCCCTATCTACCTTCTTTATCCAGGTTGCATTCTCACTGTATTTCTTTGGGCTGTCCCATAGCTGCACCCAGAAGTGCACAATTTCTTCTTTGTGAGGTGATGATTGGTTTTTTATAGTACTTTCTATTGATGGATTGGTAGAATTGTTTCTGATTAGACTGAAATTTCAAATTGGCTGAGTTTCAGATTACAAAACAAATAAAGAAGGAGGAGGAAATGGGATAGGTACAAGAGAAAATGAGAAAGCTGTGATTGGAGGGAGTTGATGAGTGTTTAGAAATTCAAAAAGAATTTTCAAGAAGAAAAGGTGATATATGAAGTTTTGTGTATGTGTGTCTGTGTAGCTGATATAATCTAATGTGGTAATTCAAACTTTTTCATTGTAGGATATACCTGACTTTAATTTCATTTTTCTCTATCAATGAAAAATTGATAAGGTTTATAATAATTTAACAGGTGCAGAAAGAGAGGGACTGGGCTTGGAAGGGAAACAGATACAGTATCTCAGACATGATATAGAGTCAGAATATAAATCAAAATATTATTGATAACTTGTTGCTGGGTTTAATTGTGAACAACTGTCAAGCCCTAAATTGGACTGGGAGGGGCACAATTTATGAAATTGTCTCCTCAGAGAAGAATGTGGTAATTCTCTTTCTACATGCTGTGTCTGAAAACAGAAGTTAAATAATAATGGATAAATCAGTGATATAAGTCAACCTAGGAGAGAGACTGAACCTATTATTAACCGATTTGGCAGAATGTATTAATCAAGATAATACTTCTGTAATCTTTAATGGTGTGTCTAAGTTTGATCAGGATGTTTGTGATTCACTTATTCAGAAAGTAAGTAAAAGTAAATCCATATTAATAATTTAAGTGAGAAAATTGCTAGATTTTGGTATCTTTAGAAAGCAGCAAACTGTCCCAAGACATTTTACTGCCCAAGGCAGAGCTGCAGATAACAGCCCTTCTTCAGCTATGTTATTGGCAAAAAAAATCCCACAAATAACATTGTTGGCAGTAAAAAAGATAATAAATAAAGTAACTAATTTGTCTCACCATATATCTGTTGGTTAAAGATAGGACTGCTCCTTCTAAAAACACAACAGATGTAGCTAAAATAATTTGGTCAGTATTAAGCAAATGATTATGCTGTATCAAAAGTGTTTGAGCCTAGGTGGCTGTTTTTATTATAATGTGGCTTCTGCTAAAGCAACACAGCTTTTTGAGCAGGTTTATCAATAATAAGATATACTTTTATATAATGGGCTCCAGAAAAGTAAACTCCATTATTTTTGGAGCTCTGTGTTGAAAAGGAGCTCACTCTATGTCTAGGCAGGAAAAGAGTAGTTTTAATAGAGTGCATAAACATTTTTTTGCCAGTTATTAAAATCTCCACCTAAAGCAGGGGTCTTCAAACTTGGCCATTTTATGACTTGTGGACTTCAACTCACAGAATTCCTCAGCCAGCATGCCTGGCTGAGGAATTCTGGGAGTTGAAGTCCACAAGTCATAAAAGGGCCATGTCTGAAGACCCCTGATCTAAAGTTATCAGAACTTTTGCCCTCCATCTCCATTAAGAATGTTTCATAGAATTATAACATATGCCAGAATTTTTTCCCGTGTTTTTGTAGTGGCGGAGGAGGAAGTAATGTATTCATGATTATGAAGTTGCAAGGCCTAAGTTGGAGGTTTATAACCATAGCAAACTGGTTGCTGGATTCTAATTCAGTCATATAAATGCTGGTTGTATCTGTGTCTTATTTGAAACACAAATGGGTAGCCCCACTTCCTAGCTCTGGTAGCTTTATGAGATTATACAATGTAATTATCAGGCTTTCTGTCTTCAGTTGACCAGATCGTCTGTAACATAATTATATCATATTCAGAGATACAATCCATGAAAGAACTATCTTACACTTCGAATGCCATCCAGCAGTGTTTCAGGAAAGTATGTTAGTTCCTCTGTATGCTTTGTAGTCAGTTTATGGATGTTAAAAAGTATGTTGAGGAATATATCTTAAGTGGGCCTTTCAGTGCAGTTTTTGGGCACTCGGTCTCTAAAAGGTTCACCATCACTGTAACAGGCTTTAGTGTATTATTATAAACTAATAACTATTCAAAGAGGGAAGAAACCTAGGACTAAGGAGAAATTTCCTGACAGTTAGAACAATTAATCAGTGGAATAATCTGCCTCCAGAAGTTGTGAATGCTCCAACATTGGAAGTTTTAAGAAGAGACTGGACAACGATTTGTCTGAAATGGTATAGGGTTTTCTGCCTGAGCAGGGGGTTGGACTAGATGACTTCCAAGGTCCCTTCCAACTCTACCACTACTATTACTACTACTACTACTACTACTACTACTACTACTATTGTTGTTGTTGTTGTTGTTGTTGTTGTTGTAACATAATGATTTCTGACAAATATATACCATTTTTTCCTGTCAATGCTGCATACACAGTCTTGGAAATCTTTGTAATACAGAATTCATGACAGTATAGCAGTAGAGTAATTTTTGTAATACAAACTGAGTCAAAAATTCAGAAACAAAGATGGATTAGTGGTAATCCCCTGTTTGTAGTAGCTATGTGATCCCACAAACTGGAAACCTAGAAAGATGGTTTTGGCAATTCCCTCTTTCTCTCATATCTTCTCTCATAATATATTATATCAACTATTTGTGGATTGTTTCCTATGTGTGGTTGTCATACTGCATGCTTACTCTTCAGCTGAGGAGATCCGATTAAAATGTGTTTTTTACCCAGGTGGTTAAAGTTTGAAGAAGATGTTGAAGATGGCGGGGAGAGGTGGAGTAAACCATATGTTGCTACTTTATCACTTCATAGCTTGTTTGAATTGAGAAGTTGTATCCTTAATGGCACAGTCTTACTAGACATGAGAGCAAATTCTTTAGAAGAAATTGCAGGTGAGTTATTTATTTATTTCCTCTTTCCATCTAACCCTTACCCGCTCAGAAATCTCTCCCAAGATGTTAGGGTGAGATAGCAAACTTTTTAAAACTTTAAATTAAAGGTTCCAACATTATTACATGCATTTTTAGCATGTTTTATATATATTACATAGCGTTGATGTTGCACTTTGCATTATTTTCTCCAAGGCAGGAAACTATTAGTTGTGGATTTAGAGCTATAAGAGTGAATAGAAAAATTCTGTTTGGATGAGATTGTTCTCGAAAGAAATATACCATTTACCAGAATAATAGTAAGGGGATCAGATGGGATACTGCAGAAAGACCCAGTTTTGTATTTCAGCCTCATTAGTAAGGCCCAAAAAGAAACCACAGTAAATGCCATGTTGTGTGTTTGTGTGCTAACATCTGTGTGTTGTAAAAAAAAAAATCCAAACTTATGGTAATAAATTAATGAAAGACAATTGAAGTGTTCAAAAAGAAATGTTTTTATAGGTAACAGTTACAGTGGTACAAATGCATTCCCGGTATACTCCATAAATTGCTGGTTTGGAAAGCTGAAATTTGCACTTTAACACTATCATTAATTGTTCAACTTTATATTGTGTAATGAAAGAAATATGAAGCTTATGTTTTCTAGGTTGCTTTTGTTATTGAATAGGAAAAAGTGTTTTAATAAATAATAGTGTATTCAGAACTAAGAATTTTATAGCTCAGCCAAATCTACTCCATGACCCTAAGTAGACTATTAGTTCTCCTTATCAGTTTTTCTGGAAATTATTATTTTCTGACGGTAACCCCCCACCATGCAAATATTGGAAACAAACTTTCCATAACACCAGATATTTCTGTAAAGTAATTTTCTCTCTAATATTTTTTATCCGACTACCTCTGATACCTAGGAGGATTTTTGTATTTACCCTATTTCTCAGTTGTTGTTTTGTTCCTCTCTCTTTTTTTGTATCTAATCTTTCCAAACTGTGCTCATTTTTATTTGATTTTTTTTTAAGTTAGGAAATATACAAGGTGAACATTAGGTGGACTTTGTACCATATCACAACAGATTTTGTTTTGCCAGATGATACCATTTTATTTGAAAATAAATCAGCAAAAGATTTCTTTTGCATCCTAATTGAGAAGTGAGTTTCATTGAGGTCAATGGGACTTACTGTAGGCTAAGTGAATATAAGAATGCAACCAGTAATATAAACCGGTAAAATAAATTAACAGTTACATATAACTTCCATTTTGATTAATAAACATTTGTTATAAAATAAAATATTACTGTGACAGAATTTATCTGCAAAGCTGTTAGATAAGTGAGATTTCCAATTTCTGGTTAGAAGTCTATCTCTGTATAAGGTCCAGTTTCTGTTTTGAATAATTCTATTATTAGATCATGATGATTTTCTTGTTAAGGAATCAAACCTTCATTTTTATTAAAATTCATTTTTATTTAAGGGGGGAGATAAAAAAACAAGAAATAGTGATACGTGTTAGGGTTGAGGCATGCTTTTCATGTAAGACTGAGCCATTTTATGAACAGAGACAGTTTTATCTTGACTCTCTGGCGGAGAGAATTACCAAAAGTCCATTGATTCTAAAGGCCTGGAAAAAAAGACTGGTACCTTACCTGGAGACTATGAAGATCTGAACAGGACAAAATAAGAGCAAAATAAGCACAGATGAAATCCTATTAAAAATAAATTGCTAATCCAACAGTAACCAGGAGAGACTTCACCCAGCTTTAGCGGATGTGTCTACCTGGACAAGACTCTCTGATTACCACTCACTCAGACTACTTACTATAAGGTGCTCTACATAGGGTTGCCTTTGGAGTTGACTGGGAAGCTACAAGTTGTACAACATAAACTCCTGAACAGCCATAACACCCTGTACAACATAAACTCCTGTAACACCCATTCCGATCTCACTTTATTGGTTACCATTTTGGCTTCTGAGCTCAATGTTAATGCTGGTAATTATTTTTAAAGTCCTTTATAACATAACACCAAGATATTTCAGTTATAACTGCCAAAATTGAATCTGCTTATCCAGTCTGCCCATTGAGAGAGAGCCTGTTGTGGGACCATCCCTTCCCTTCCCAAAGTGCATGGAGTCTAGATTAGGCAACAAGTTTTCTCTGCAGTGTCCTTGATGTTAAAGAATTTTTTTTTCCCCTGGAGTATTGGTAGCCCCAATCCTGTTTATATTTCATAAATAAGTAACAACTTTTGAGTCCATTTGTGCTTTAATTTATTGGGCACCTGGGCTCTTTATATTTATTTGATTTTTAATGACTTTAAGACTTTGTACTGGGTTTTAGTATCTTGTTTACTATTTTGTACCCCACCCAGAATCAGACAGGATGGGGGTAGGCTACAAATATAATTAAACAGATTGAACAATAAATACGTCTTGGATTTACACTCTGAAGCAACCTTAGGTATATGAATTTGATTTTGCAGAAATCAGATCTTCTGTGCACAGAGTATGTGAGTTTGTTCACATCTGCCATTTAGCAACTTTAGCTTAGATAGCAACATTGAGTTTACAAAGCTGCTGCTCTTAGCTAGTTGAGTTTTTGGAGAATCAACATTTATTGCCCTGCGCAGTATGAAGCCTGACAATTTGCCTGTTTTGACATCTCTTTTAGCTTTTATGGCCATAAAGAAGCTGTTGTCTGCAACTCTGAATTATAGCCTCATCTACTACAGCTGTTACAACTTACAGTTGCTAATGCTGAGTTCATAGACCTTCCTCCAGCCGGGCTGAGTCAGATTATATCAAGGTCTTGGCCTCTCTAGATTACTTCCAAGTAGCTATTGCCTAGCATCACTCAAGTATCCACAGTGAATATCCTTTAACTGCACAAAATATTCTCAGTGGAATCCCTGCTAAAATCTATGTAGGTTGCAGTTCTTGAAAAGAAAAATGTTACTGATCTTTTTTGCTATAATTTCTTTGGCTGTTCAAACAATTTAATGTTAATAGATTTATATTTCACCTTACTTTCCAGAAGGATTTAAATATTTTGTAACAGTTAAATAATAATTAAAACTGTTGCTCTGGAATTCCAAAATATAAAGCACCAAAGAGCAGAAGGAAGAAACATTGTACAAAACATAATACAAAACATGAGGTGAGATGGACGGCAAATAAATCTAATAAATAAATTAATAAATAAATAATACATAAAACATCAATAAAATAAACCTTGAGTATAAAATCAGTGAAAACAATCTTCTAGGAGGTTGCTAGTATTGTTAGTGAGAAGCTGAGCTGGTCCACCTTTGACACTTGAGAGTCCGTTCACACTCTGGCTGATTGGCCACATCACCAACTTTCCAGTTGCTTGATGGCTTGACGGTCTCATAACATATGCCTTTAAAAATCCCTTCAAACTCTGCCCTAGAAAGCTGCTTTGCCTTGGAATCGAGATAGTGATCCATAAGGGCAGCAGGGGTGGAATGGGGGAGGACTTGGCCCCAATCCTCAGTTTGCTCCTTTGAAGCAACAACAATGATGAAAACTGTCTTGAATGCATTTGGGTCAATATAAAAGGGGGAAAAATGACATTACCATAGGTGTATACTACAGGCCACCCAACCAAATAGAGGAAATAGATGAACTTTTTGCTAGTCAGCTAACTAAGGTATGTATGAAGCACATCACAATAGTAGTGGGGGACTTTAACTACCCTGACATCAACTGGGAGACAAACTCTGCACCAACTGGAAGATCAAACAGATTCCTTGCAAACCTAGCAAACAATTTTGTCTCCCAAAAAGTAGAGAAGGGAACTAGGGGATTAGCCACTTTGGATCTAATTCTCACTAACAGAGATGAAATGATAGAAGGTGTTGAAGCCACAGGAACCTTGGGAGGAAGTGATCATGCAATATTGGAATTCAACATTATGGAAGCACAAGCAATAGAACACAGTCAAACTAGAGTCTTGGACTTTAAGAGAGCTAATTTCAATAAACTTAGAGAGGGCTTGGGAAGGATTCCATGGATGAGAATCCTCAAGGGGAAAACAACTCAAGAAGCTTGGGAAATTTTGAACAACAAATAGTCCGAGCCTGCAAAGATGAAGTGAGGAAAGCTAAGGCTCAAAATGAACTAAGGCTTGCGACCAGAGTCAAAAATAACAAAAAAAAAAAAAGCTTTCAACATGTAAAAAACAAGAAAAAAGTGAAGGAAATGATTGGTGCATTAGTGGGGGAAAGTGGCAAGAAGGTGACAAGCAACAGGGAGAAAGTAGAACTATTTAACTCGTTTTTTGCATCTGTCTTTACACAAAGGGAAAAAACAGACCAACCTACCAAAAATAGTGCCATAAAAAACAGAATAGAAACGCAAGTTAAGATAGGCATGAAAATGGTGAGCACCTGTCCAGCCTAGATGAGTTCAAATCACCAGGACCAGATGGATTACACCCCAGGGTTCTCAAGGAACTGGCAGATGTGATCTCAGAACCATTGAACTATATTTTTCAAATATCCTGGAGCACTGGGGAACTACCGGAGGACTGGAAAAGAGCTAATGTAGTTCCCATCTTCAAAAAAGGAAAAAAAATGGACCCAGGAAATTACAGACCTATCAGCCTGACCGCAATACCTGGGAAGATTCTGGAAAAGATAATCAAACAACGAATCAGTGAACACCTAGAGGCAAACAAAGTCATTACTAAAAGCCAACATGGGTTTGTCAAAAACAAATCGTGCCAGACAAATCTTATTGCATTCTTTAACCAAGTGACAAAATTAGTGGACCAGAGAATGCTGTGGATATAATTTATTTGGACTTCAGTAAGACATTTGATAAAGTAGATCACAACCTATTACTTGATAAGATAGAAAAATGTGGGTTAGACAGCATCACCACCAGATGGATCCATAGCTGGCTGACCGGCCGTACTCAGCGTGTGGTCCTCAATGGAACCGCATCTACAGGGAGGGAAGTGTGTAGTAGGGTGCCCCAGGGCTCTGTTC